TCCTGATTAATCGATCAAACCTCACGATTTCTTGATAACAAAGAGTTGATTGTTTTTTTTTTGTAAACAGTTCATAGAAATATCTCCGAAGGACATGATCGCAAGTGAAAATATGGATTTGTACCGTAAGAAGAACTGAAAATATCCCAAAAAGGAATTGTTGAAGTTGGAGAAAGGTATTTTTCACTGATCATGTATGCTATCATCCTAATTGAAGGTGGTGTTTCCGATTGATTTATGAACGCGGATAGATTTGCTTTTTGTTAAGTTAACGAGGGTAAGGTCTATATTTGTAATCTACCAATTAGAAATCGAAAGATCCTTGGTCCGCTTGATGAATGCTAACGCACTTTTTGACTAGGAACATGAATATGGACATAAGAAGCCCATGTGATGATTGTTGAATCTACACAAGAGAAGCCCAACATCACCGTGTAACCACGAGCGAACGAGCTCACTTGCAAATTATTGCATTTTCTTCTTGTGGCTTTTTGTAACTTAATTTTCTCCGTGAGAAAACATATTTTCTGTTACTTATGATAGAGAATGCACACTTGTAAAAACAAAATAAGATTATTTATAAATGCGGATAAATTTTCTTTTTGTAACTTAATTTGTCCAAAATGGCTGACGTGGACGCGGCCGTCCTACTAACATAAACAATTTTTAATAAATTTTTTTGAATTTGTTATTAACTTTTCTTTTTTTCCTTTTTTTCTTCTCTCTCTCTCTTTTCCTTTTTTTTTTTTTTACTTTTTTCTTACTTGCTAGTGGGGATCGTGCATCCGTGGGCGAGGCAGCCTTATCCAAATTAGTCTCAATGGCCTCGCCTAAATTTGGGCGAGGCTGAGTGAGGCTGCAACCCTCGCTCGCGGTTGACGAGGGCTTCGCTCTCCTTGCCCAATGGCTGGCAAGGGTCGGACGACGTTCACAGGCCATAATAAAAAAAAAAAGAGAAAAGAAGGAAAAAAATAAATATATAATTCAAAAAATATTATTAAAAATTATTCACATTTGTACCAATCGTGCCACATAGGACGGCTGACGTTCACATAAGAGATTTCAGGCCAAAATTGATCGGATGGATTCAATTAGCAAATATGAAAATGTTTATGACTCAATTAACACAATTAAAAAGTTCACGACTGAATTATCAAAAGTGTAATATATTTATGATTTTTTGGACAATTTTCCCTTCTTAGAAACCCTTGGCTTATCCCATATCAAGCATGCTTTAGGAAAGACAAATACCAAATATGATCCCACTTTTTACTCCTTTATCAATTTTCCTCGTCTGTTTTCCAAAGTACCAATTTGAGTCCTTAGATAGAACCTTATGCACCAAAAGACTACATTGCTCTCTTTCTAGAAAACATCAAGCGTGTCTTAACTCTTCACCGACCACAAACTCCAATACCTCCAACAGTACATCCATAGAGCCTCACTTCCTCCACCCCCGCTGCCGTCGCCGGAGACTGTCCCACTTTCTACGGCCACATCTCCCATTGTTCATATCGTCGCCTCCACTCCCGCCACCACCCTCGACACTCGAAGCCCCCTTCTTGATTATTTGGCTCGTTTTCTTTTTTTGGGTCTCTCTCTTTCTCTCTCAATGTGAAGGCGAGAAGTGCTAAGTAGTGAGGAGGCCGAGATGGAAGGCTGGTTCGACAGCAGTTGTGGTGCCCGGATGATGATGGTTACAACTAGGTTACGGTGGTTAGGTTTAGTAGAGAGGTTTGTGCTTCTGGGTTGGGGATAATTTGGAATTGAGTAAAAGGCATTTTACGAAGCAAGTAGTGATTTCGTAAATAATATTAGACTAATATCTGAACTAAGCTGCAAATTGGTATTTAAGATGAACACGCATGATGGAAAGAGGTAACTTAGAAATAAAGGAGCCAAAGTGATAATTGATGGAGAGAGGTAACGGTTACATTTGGTATTTTCCTTTTTACCGACGATGTTTGCAAAATTGCATTCGTCGACATGAATGATCGTAATATAAGCTTAAGCCCAATGCCAAAAATGCTCTTTGAATTTTAGAACTTGTATGGTATAGCTTCGACTGTAAGTTAGCTGTGCTGTGATGCGACTACACCGTGATGGGTCGTACCTCCGTGTGTTTGGAAAAACACATCAGAGTTGTACCACCTAGAAGCCAGGCAAGCAACTTCTCTAAAATTGTTGCATCGAGGTGCTTTGCCGATCCTCGTAAAAGCCGCCGCACCTTTTTTCACAGTCGAATTTATTACTCTAAGCCAACCGAATTGATCCACAACCCCAAGCATATGAAGAGAAGCAGGTCCCCTTGCGAATCTTTAGCCTATTCATCCAAATAATTCAAGGAGCACGACGCTATTTTGCCAAGGGTCCACCGAAGATATGAAGCCACACAAGAGGACATATGCATGATTCGATGAGGCCATGTGATGGGGGTTTGACATCACACCAAAAGGGGACTCGTTCCAACTTCCCCCGGAACAAAAATCCACCCGAATCTCGATAGAGATGGGAAACATCTTCGATACAATCACTCCACATCCGATCGGAATTGGATCGTCAACATCGACATCCCAACGCTCCCACGTCAAGCCCACATGCAATGGCGCGCTTGGGAATGACCCACGTGCAACAGTTTTTTACTGATGCCAGTTAGTGAGCAGTGGAAGGAGTCCCATGGATATGTCATCACATAGAGAGAGAGAGAGAGGGAGAAGAAGATTTGTATGGTTCCTGTCGTCTGTTGGTTTGATTCCAAAGGGTGAATTGTTGTCTAGGCTCTCACTACTTTTAGAACAAGTTGATCTTATATATTTCGAATTGAAGTGAGCTTCATATTGAGTTGCGCAATAAATCGCGTAATACGAAGTATTCGTTGTGCTGTCATTTGTTCATTGATTCGTTGCACATTGTTCACAAGATAAGTTTATGTAGTATTTCTTCTCCAACTTAGAGGTATTATATTTCCACATGCTTTTCTTTTGGTTTTCTTGGGTATTAGTGACTTATCAAGGGAAAGAATGCGCAACTTCTATGAAGTCCACGTCAGTTAATAAAGTTAAATGGAGCAATCTAACTTTCTTATTTTTGACGGATAACTCGTATAATACTAATATAAGTTCTTGAGTTTAATCAGGTCGAGTCGGGTAATCTCTTTCATGATATCTCATTGTGAGGTATTGGACTTCCATTATTACAATTTTGAGCAATACCTAACTCAATGAGACCTGCCCAAATCTCTCTGACTTTGACCTTCTCAAAAAAATCGATGGCGTATCTACTCATACATCTAATCAAGTCGATGAAGCACGATGTCGTAGTTGTCAATGTCATGTACACATCTTCTCTGCCTCGATCCGAGGTAAGCTAGCTGATCGTTCTTGAACCTCATGTGAAGCGAGGATGAGTAGAGAAGTAAGGTGGAGACATCGGCAGAACTTGCGGCCCGAAACAGACGTGTGTTTTTAGGGTAAATTTTTGCTCGAGGAGCTTGATAAACGTCCTCTCTTATTGCCTAGACGATTGCGGTACGCTTTCTTTGGCTTCCTCAAAAGGACATTACGTATTATTAGATCTCGGATCGAGTATAAATAAATTGGTACGACGCATGATCCAAGAAAAATTAATTTAAATTTTCCAATCTCTTTTCTCGTCCTTGAATGTACTAAACTAATAGGAACTTTTCCATATTTAAGTATTAGTCAAAAGAAAGAAACGAAAAATGAAATGGTATCTGCAATTATTAGCTCACGGAACTTTTTTAATCAAATATCTTTAGTTTCTTTTCTAATCTAGCCGAAAAAAAGAAAGAAAGAAAGAAAGATTGTGGCGGTCTATTATTACTTTCTCTCCAAAATAAAACCTTAGATCGAGATCCAAACCCTACATGCTGTGACATTCGATTGTAACATGATACATGAAAGTAAAATATATGTACTTATTCGCTCTATAATCAGTTTTCGCCTTCTGTGAGCTTAGTAAAAGAAAATTAAGAAGAATGAGAGCAAAACGAGGATAGGAATATGGATTTTTATTGGAGCCATGTTTTCCCGGGATCCTTAATTGAAGGAAACTTCATCCAACCAGTCTTGTGATTGGTGGTTACAAGCACGGACATCAACCATATTTATATTTACTTAAGTTAGCATGCGAGTGAATAGCCATAGACCATGACTCATAAACCACCCGATCAGAGGCATGGTTAAAGAATGAGAATGAGTAATTGATATCAAAGAACCACGGATTGACGGAGGAAAGTATAACTATCTAGATTGTGACTCCAAACGAGAACGACTAAATAATAACTTGGTTAAGAACCAACTATCAACCCTAGTTTTTACTAATTTAAGAAAAAGATAATGGTCAACTGAAACTTCTCAAATTTGGAGTGTGCCACTGGTGCATTTATCTTCAGTTCCCACTAGAATGGAAAGTAAAACAATACGGAGAATGAGTCTACCCAATTGATGGTTGAATCACATATGTTTGGGTGCACCAATCATTTAATAAACTATGCAATTCATTTGATCATGCAATCAGCCAAGTTGTACCATGCACTACTTATTGTGCTCCGAAAACCTAAAGACCGGTCCCCGCGCTTCGTTATATCGATATTATGTCCTCCCTGACTACCCAACATTTGCCATGGTAGGACAAGATAGATAGTTGATAATTGTTCATGTCATATGCTAGCAACATTTCTCTATAGTTTGATATATTAGCCATACAATTTTTCATTCTCTGAGTTTTCTCACAAAAAGAAAATCACTTCATTCTATGAGTTAGATCAATCATACATAAGGGAAGATAATATCAGGACTATTTGAATCTATTCTTATTTCAGATTCCATATATCAATCGCTAGAGTGTATTATATGCGCCATGAATCGCGTCATTGGCTCATTGTATAATTCTTACTTTATGAAAAACACTAAAAAATTATATGCCCCCCACCCCCAAAAGAAAAAAAAAAGAGAAAATAGAAAACCGCAACCTCATATTCAAGGCCTCGAGGAGAGCTCAAACCCCGCAAGATCAAATGAGCTCCAAAAATTATCATTCGTCGGAAGCAATCTGAACTGATCGTCGGACGGTGACGTTCCAATCTCCTGTAACTGCAACATGGGCTGCCACGCGAAATTCGCCGAGCAGGACGTCGTATCGCCCCATAACAAGTCGTCCGCTGATTCATGGTGACCGAAACCATTTGTTTCCATGAACAGCCCTTCAACGTGAGGCACTTCCAGAGGCGGCTCAGCCTGCTCTCCAACGAGGTCAAGCGACGCTGACGTCTGCACACTATCCGGGGTCACCGCGCTAGAGGTCGAACCTGTCAAATCTTGAGAGCTGGACTTGGTCTGCTCATTATTCAAGAACTTGGCGAAAACCGCCGCCATATCGATATCCATCGCACCAGCTGTGGTGGCCGGCGAGCCACCCTGAGGTGACTCGACACTCTGATCCTTGTCCACTGAGTCAGGCTGACCACCAGCCAGGGAAGCGCGCTCGGGCTGGCCAGAGCCCGGAGCCTGCGACCTGGAGGAGGGCTTCGTGCTGCGGCGGTTCTTGCGGCAGCCGCCGCCGACGGGAATGTTGCGGAGCGAGCCGCCGTTGGTCCAGTACCGTCGGCAGGACTTGCAGAAGTACCGGGGCTGAGAGAGGCTGTAGTTGTTGTAGTAGCAGAACTTGGTGTTGCCGGAGGTGCAGCGGGGGCAGTTCGGAGCGGCAGCGGGGACGCCACTGTGGCTTGCGGTCCCCCACCGCTGGAACAGCGCTGCTTGGTCGCTCGAGGGTGCGAACATCGGGTTCTTTCACACTCAGCGACGAAGAGAACTGAGAGAAACTCTGTGGTTCTCGGTCTAGGGTTAGCCAGTGACCAAGATGGGAGGTGGTTGTTCCTTTCGCTCTTTTGGTTTTTTGGGTGGGTGTGATACGAAAGGAGATGATCAAGATTGAAGAAGAAGAGGAAGAGATATATATGAATGGAGCATGAGGAGCGGTGCATTGAAGGGGGCATGTGTGGGGTCAGTGTGGATTTGCTGACACGGAACGTTGTGGGCGGTTGCTGAGCCGTCAGCACCAAGGAAGAGGATGGTGGTGTGAAATCATAACGATGGAGGAGGTGGTGATGGTGATGATTCATGGTCATGTGTTTTGTGTTTTTGTATTTCATTTCACCTGTACAATTTTCTTAAGTTGGATCCAAGTTATACTCTCTTAGTCTAATCTAACATCTGATAACATTTCATACAAGCATTAATAAGAGTGCCTACGTGTGGAGTTGGGACGACTTAGGGCCCGTTTGGCAAGTTGCCAAATGGTAAAAATTTCTGTTCTTTTGTTATCAGAATCAGTTTGGGAATAGAAATCTGTTTGTTAAATTTTTTGTTCCCGGGCACAAATTTACAAAAAATTATTCCCAAAATCAGTTTTGGAATAGAATCAAGAAGCCAAAAAAAGTAACTTCTTAATTCTGGGAACAATTTTTCCATTTCTGATTCTTTTTGGTTTTCTTTTTCCTTTTTCGTTTGTTGTTGTTCTTCTTCCTGGCCTACCGCCGGCGATCGGCGATTGGCCATAGGCCAGGGTCGGCAAGGGTCCCCCTCGCCGCCTGGGCGAGGGCGGCTCGCGGCCGCGACGGCAAGGCCTCTCCTAGCCATGGTGAGGCCGACCTAGCCCTCGCCAGCCTTGGCCTGTGGCCGGTTGCCGGCGCCGGCTACTAGCCATGGCCAACGAAGGGAAGGGAAAGAAAGAAAAAAATAATAAAAAAAAGGAAATAAAGAAAGAAAGAAATATTAAAAAATTCAAATATATTATTAAAATATTATTAATAAAAAGAAATTTTGTGTAGTTACCAAACCCATTTTTGTTCTTTTTCTATTCTAAGAATAGAAATTTTAGGCAGTTACCAAATGCCTTCAAATGCTTAGAAATTGTTCCCTAGCACGGGATCAAAAAGAATTATTTCTAAGCAGAATCAGTTTCCTCGCACAGAATCGTTGCCATTCGCATCCTTATTGTTCTAATTTCATCTATTACATGTTCACGGCTCGTATTTTACGAATCAAATGTTCTGCATTTCATAAATCTGTTGTCTTTTGTCGAACGCTCCATTTCCGATTCTTATAGAACGTCGCTTATTTTTTGGCTCAACTCACTACATCACGGATCGAATGAGTTCGTACCGGCATCATTCTCTTCTTAAAAGCGATTTGTCGCGTAGTGGTTAAGGGGCTGGGCAATTGCTCGTCCTAGGGGCGATCCGTCACATGGCATTTATAGAATGGGCAACATCGGAGTGCGATTGAAGTGGACGAGTCGGGGCTTGTCGGTTGGCATAGTTGTCCTCGATTGAGTGTTGGGTGTGGGGACAATGGATCCATAGATGACCATAAGGGATCCACTTGAGCTGGGATGGAGGGTACGGCTCTATTACGATAAATGGCAACTATTGTTTGTTTCTTGCTGAAGACATTAGAAGTGCAAAAAATTAGAACAAGTCCTTGGCCAATGATGTCCCGTGGAAAAGAATTACCTAAAAAAAGTCCTAAATTTATTGTAATTGTGTCAATTCAGTCCATCCAATTTTGACTGGAAATCGCTGACATAGACGTCGGCCGTTTTATATGACACGATCAGCACTGACGCGGAGATGCTAGCTCGATTTGCATCAGTGATGAATACCCTCGTTTGCATCCCCCTCTGTGAGTTTCGTCCGCATGTGATGAGGCTGTGCAGCATGTACAGTGTACTTTCGCACTTGGGGATTAGCGAAATCGCAACGCAAGTCAAGGGGGGAAGATTGCTCGTGAAATTTGAGGAGCTAACGTCGCGGGGGCGTTGTGGCGCCCGCACGTGCTTCCGCTGTTACGTGGCGCGTCTTCCTCAGTTCTTTCGAAGCAAAGTCCGATTAACAAATTCGGAACAAGGCTTGCACTCGCAGGAGTTTCCGGCCATCAGGGTACCCTCCTCGAATCCGATGCAATCCCTTTGACTTTTCAAGGGTCAGCTCGTTAATTACGCGGTTAATCATTCGCTAATACGATGATGATCACTGGCCAGTCATTGGGCAAGCTGGCGTGTGCCTGTGTCTTGTGCATTTCAAGCTGTAGTTTATACTTATGGCACGACATAACGGACGTCCCGGCTTAATTTAATCGGCACGGATGAACGTTAATTGTCTCTTTCATGGACAACTAGTGATACTTCGCTCGTAGAAGCGATGATTGTGATATTATCAATGTTATCTTGAACGTAAGATATTGTTACCCGCATATAGGAAGTGGATTAGGTCAAGATACGCATCCGGACGCCATATGAACGTCAGAAGAGATTAGGCTTTGATTTATTTCGGTTTAGGCTCCGATTGTTTTGCGGGAATCATTTTTCAAGAAAACATTTTCTTCATTTTCCGATGTTTGGTTCGCTTAGAAAAATGAGATAACGAAAAATGTTCTCCTAGTCGACAAAAAACTTATGCTTACATTCAAGAACACAATTTCCTCTTTGAAAAACCGGAAAATATTTTTCAAAATATGACTACGTATCGACGCTTGAACCCGAAATTCTGCGTTTGAGCACGGAAACTCCAACGCTGGTTCCCAGGTCCCCGGCATGCAAGACCAGGTCTCCGGCACCTGGGCTCGGGTCCATCGAGGCCGAGTTTATGACTTTGGTGCCCAAGCCCGGTGCCCTAGCGCCCACGCCCGAGTCCATCGGGGCTGGGCCCGAACTCTTGGTGCCCATGCCCGATGTCTTGGCACTCGAGCCCAAGTCCATAAATGTCGTGTTTGGGTCCACGATCCTTGAGCTCTGGTCCTCGGGACTTAGGCCCAGGTTCACAAAAGCCAAGTGCAGGTCCTCGATTCTCTGATTCGGGTCCTTAGTTAATAAAACATTCATTCTTATAACAATATTTTTAAAAAAATTGAATTTTTAATTTTTATTCTTTTTTCTTTTCTTTTCTTTCCTTTCTTTTTCCTTCTTCCTCGGCTGGTGACTGGCCACAGCACCAGCCGCAGGAGAGGGACCAGCTTGTCCAAAGCCGGCGAGGCTCTAGCTCGCCCAATTCCAACGACCTGAGCCAAGCTAGCCTCCACCTCGCCAATTCAACGAGCTTGAGGCTTCGCCAAAGGTTGGTGAGTCGTGGCAAGCTTGAGGCCTTGCAAGTCATGGCAAGCTCGAGGAGGAGGGGTGAGCTTAAGGCCTTGCCAGAGGTTGGCCAATTGTGGCGAGCTAAGGCCTCATGAGTCGTGGCGATCTCAAGGAGGAGGCGATGAGCTTTGAGCTCACCAGATTTGGAGATGTGGAGCCTTGCCCGAAGCTAGCTCAACTCAGATCATCGAAATATGGCGAGCTCGAGCCTCGCTGGCCTTGGGCGAGCTCGTCCTTTGCTTGTGGCCGATCGCTAGCCATTGCCATGGCCGACCACTGGCTGTGGAAGAAGGAAGAAGGAAAAAGAAAAAAGAAAAAATAATAAAAAATTCGAATTTTTTGGTAATTTCCTAGGAAAATCAAATTGGATTTTAAATATGAAACAGCAAAAAATATTTTCCAGTTTATTTTTGTTTAAGATATCAGTTAAATATCGGAAAATATTATTATTTTCCTGAAAAACATTTTCCGCAAAACAACAAAGCTAAGAAGTTCAATACCGTAGAGTTCATCAACATATTCAATTGAATCCATCTTCACTCAAACACTTGAAACAATGAATTATAAGCCAATTATGATATATTAAATATTCCACACCATACCAATTCTCCGATATGGGATATTTTTTTTTATACATCTCGCGTGTGCATCTCAACACCTTATAGTTCCTAAGGAAACGCTAAAAGAAAGAACAAAGAAATGATTTTTTTCTTTTGTGTTCGGGACTATGGAGATTATCATATCTGAGCAGATTAGCCGAATTTTCAAAGAGCCCCACTTCTTGTTTGCTAAAGGAAGAAAAAACAAGAAATGTTGGAAAATTAATTAGAAGGAAGTGGTGACCCTCAGAAAACTCATCAGAAAGAAAAGTATTAACTCAGTAAATTCTTTCAGAGGGTACTGCAATGGCTGGGCATGACCCTCTCCAACAGTAGTGTTGAGAAGAGCAACTGAACAGGAAGACAGTTTCTGATCTAAGTGGTTATTACTTGGATATTGGAGTTCGCCACGGTTCTGTGAAGATATCTATTGGATTCACACTCCGATTATTCATGGTGAGAGGTGAGAAAAAAATGGACTAAAACAAAACAATAATGAATTTTGGGTGTGAGAGTCCATCAGAATTCCTCCTTGATGGGTTTGGAGATCAAGACATTGAATTCGTGTAATGGGGAGGTTTCGCGTCATTATCACTGTTTCCTTTTGTTTTTCCTAGCATGTGCATATCCTTCCCAGAATCACATCTTTCTTGCCAAATCTTCTGCTCCTTAAATCTCATGTTAAACGTGGGAATTGAGTGCATTAGCTAGAAATTCAATCTACACATATACATACGTATATAAGAAATCTCTCATAGACATAAATGACAAACGTGACTTTGATTTGGAGATGCTAATTGCCTTTGATGTTGCACAGCCATTGTACAAAATATAGGGGCACACAGGTTCTCAAAATTCTTATACGTGATCAGGAGGCATCGACTGAGCCCAGCAAAGCTCTCTTTATCTCGTGCAATCTAGCCAAGGCCTCTCTCATGCTCGGACGATCCTTGGCGGATGGCGCTGCACAAGACAGGCCTAACCTGATCGAACCTGCGACACATTCTTCGCACCTCATCAACCAGCTGTTCCTTGGATTCGTGCTGCCTCCTAAGCTGACGTTGTCTGAATGCATGAAGAAGCTGCTCGAGGAGATATTGCTCCCCGTCGAATTGGAAGCCTCATCATTTGCGAAAAGCCTTGAATCAGCGATGTCGAGAACTTTGTGAGCCCCGTTGTCCAATGCCGACGCGAAAATTCTCAGGTTCAGGCCTTCCTCGAACATTTGGTCTGTCGGTTTCTTCAAGACAAGCATCTCCAGCAGGAGGATGCCGAAACTGTAGACATCTCCACTGGTTGATGCCCTGCTTCCCATTCCATACTCTAGGGGTGACCAAAAAGGCACAAGCATATCATTTAATAATGAAAAGATTGATCGAACTTTTGAAAAAAAAAATTGGATTAAAAAAAGAAATCGCTGTACCTGGAGGAATGTAACCAATCGAACCTTTCAGTCCTATTGTGCTGTGACCAGTTTCCTGCTGATTTTGAGGAAGAAACCTAGCCAATCCGAAGTCCCCGACGTGTGCAACCATGTTGTCATCCAAAAGGACATTCCCCGGCTTCAGATCGCAGTGGACCACAGGAGGGTCGCAGTCGTGATGCAGGTAATCCATTGCAGAAGCAATGTCGATAGCGACATTGAGCCTCTGCATTAGGCTCAAGCTCGAGCCATCACGCTCGATGTCTTCTGGGTAGAGCCACTTCTCCAAGTTACCATTAGGCATGTACTCCATCACCAGCGCTTTGAACTCATGCCCCATGTTGTCGACACTTGAGCAGGAAGTTGCGACTTTCACGAGGTTCCGATGCCGGATGAATTTGAGGGCTTTGCATTCCGCATTGAAGCTCTTGGAAGCCTTGCTTTGCTCAAGATCTATGACCTTAACAGCAAGGCTAATGCAAGAGCCATCGTTCCGTAGGAACACAGCTTTGTACACGGAGCCAAACCCGCCCTTCCCAATGAAGTTTTCTTGAGCAAACCCATTAGTTGCACGGCGAAGCTCATCATAAGATACCTTCTTCGGCAAGCCTTTGATGAGAGGAGATGGGAATGATGACTCTCTCTCTTTTATCTTCCTCTTCTTTTGGATAATTACCCATGTGAAGCAGAGGATGCAACACACTAACACAAAAGAGATTGAAACGGGAATGAGGACTGCAAGCAGGTGATGCTGATTGGACTTTTTCTTTGTCATAGCTTCACATGTACTAATCCCTAGCTTTCGTGCTGCTTCTGCATCGATCACGCAAAGCTCATTATTCCCCTGGAGTTCATCCCAGGTTAGATTAGCAAACTCACCATTCATAGGAACTTGCCCTTCTAAATGATTGAAAGACAGGTTCAGTCTCTGCAGAATCTGAAGATTTCCTAGTTCTACTGGGATTGAACTGGAGAGATTGTTCGACGAGAGATCCAAACTCTGCAGTGCAGATAAGTCGCCAATTTGACTTGGTATTTGCCCGCTTAGGTTGTTCCTAGCCATTGTGAGAGCATCCAAACTCGAGCAGCCACCAATGGACGTTGGAATAGTTCCAGATAGCTGGTTATCTGAAACATCAAGCGATTCGAGTTGTTTCAAGCTTCCCACCCGAGGAGAGAGAGAACCAGTCAATTTGTTTTCGGCCAATAGCAGAGCTCTCAAGTTGGAAAGCCTGAAAATCTCCTCTGGAATGTTTCCGCTGAGGCTATTCGACGCCAACCCGAGTACATTCAATTGCTTGCAGTTTCCAATGCTCGAAGGAAGTCTACCAGAGAACTCATTATTTCCCATCCTGAGACGGTATAACTGAGTGAGATTGCCAAAGAAATCCGGGATTTCACTGTAAAAGTTATTTCCGTATGCTTGGAGAGTTTGGAGCTGGTGCAACCTTCCTACGGTGCTGGGAAATTTTCCTGCGAACCAGTTCTGGTAGAGCGACAAGGCCGTGAGGTTCTGATACCTATCGAGGACATCGGGGAAACCTTTGGTTAAATGATTATCATCGATGCAAAACTCTCGCAGATGCACTGACAAGTTTCCAATTGAGCTAGGAAGTTCGCCAGCTAGTTGGTTGCTGTTTAGGTAGAGAATCTCTAACTTGGTGCAATTGACAAGTGAATGGAAGATCTGAAGGTTGAGATCGGTGGTAGATGACAGATTGTTGTAGCCGAGATGCAAATAATTCAGGCTTTTCATGTTACCTAGTGAAGGAATGGACCCACTAAATCGATTGGAAGAGACATCGAGGACTTGAATTTGTGAACTGTTGAACAAATAATTTGGTAGCAACCCCTCAATCATATTTTCTGCCAAATAGAGTTGTTTCAGGTTTGCTAGTGAGATGCTTATACTAGACGGCAATCTTCCGACGAGCTTGTTCTGTGTAAGACTAATGAATTCGAGGGTTGAAATGTTGAAAATCCAAGGGGGGATTGTGCCAGTTAATGCATTCACAGAGAGCTGAAGAACGGTCAGATTTTGAAGACTCCCAAGCTCGTTCGACAGCTCACCGGACAAATGGTTGCTCGCAAGGCTAAGAGTGGTGAGAGCAGAGAGATTACCAAACGTTTTCGGGATTGAGCCAGTGAGATTATTCACTGAAACAATAAGAATCTTTAGCTCAGAGAGAACACCCAATTCAGTGGGAAGTTCGCCGGATATGTTGTTATACTCGAAGTTGATCTCTTCAAGGCTATGACACCAAGAGAGATTCGCTGGAATCAAGCCACTGATAGAGTTCCTGGAAAGAATGATTTGCCGAAGGGCTGTGAGGTGTCCAAAACTTGACGGAATTTCACCGCTGAACGAGTTCCGAGACAAATTGAGATACTGAAGAGAGTTGAGGTTGGAGAGTTGAGATGGGAGGATGCCAGTGAGTCCGAGACCAGCAAGGATTAGAGCATTCACTCTCATTTCACCATCATTTGTGCATGAAACGCCGGTCCAATTACAGTGAGATGTGCTGAGATTCCAACCCGTGAGTGCATTTCGCGGGTCAGATATCGTGGATTTGAAAGCCACGAGCGCTTCTCTGTCGGTGTCGGCATCACTGGCTCTAGCCGTGCTTGTACAAAGCCTGATGTGAATCAGAATGAGGATGTAGAGAACTGAGTGAAATTTCTTCTGCTTCATTTGAAGTTCTCTTGAGATGTAGCTCAAACGAATAAAAAATTTAACATAGGAATGTCGGATTATGAGTAGAAGAATGGGCAGATCCGAAAATACAGTGATCATCCATGGGCGAACACCATGCTTGACTGAATCAATTATTTTCAAGATCCATGAGGTAATACGATGTTAATTTCTCAGACAGTTCCAAATAAGTTCGGATTATTGTCTTGGAACGCCACGTCTTTGACATTTGCAGGGTGTTACGTCCACCATGCATGCGAAGACTTTCGTTATTTTTCTCCTTTTCAGCACTTTCGAGTCATAAGATAGTCTTCATAAGCCATGCGGGCAGATGAAGACTCCGTCAGTCTTCCTCTGCCACGCACGCAAAGGAAGACTTGGTTTGCCATTCAACTCCTCTCGTTTTCCAAGAAGTTGTCGGTCTACCGAATCATTGTCATATAAGTCTGCAGAGAAGCTGGATTTTCAACCTTTTCATTAGTCTAACACTAGCTGGTAGAAATTTGAGTGCGCCATCGTCCGTTTAAAAAATTCTCATGCGTCCCTATCTATCTAGATGATTGACGAAACATGGTTGAAGAAGTGATCTGCTCGGTCCAGTCTATGCCAAACTCGCGCGAAGAAATGTCACTAGGTAGTAGGTGGCCGCCTTGCTTTTGACTGAGTAAGCCATACATAACAGCCATCCAGGTCTGTTTTGACTGTCTTTTATTCCTCATCCAAGTTTGGAATTGTCCATTACAGTCAACACCAGAGCAAATTTACAAAGAAATAAATTACGTGTCAGCCTGTCCAATTTGACCTATAAGAATGCAACCCAAATCACAAAACTCCTTCACAAAAACTAAAATTCACAAGTATCGTTTTAGGACACAAAATGGCATTATCCTCTAAGGCCTTGAAAGGCATATTGATGGGTATCTTGGTCGCAACCATATTGCTCATGTCCTCACCTGAAGTGGTGTCTGCCTCGCCGAACCTTAATCTTGGTAAGTTAAAATTTTTTTTTGTCGAACTTGATTAGCTAATTTAACTTTATCATTCTTGAGTGTGTTCTCTTTTTGCATAACTCGGTCCTCAATAGATATCAAGGCTCTTTGGTAATTTTAGGGGTGCGTTTGTTTCACAAAAAATGAATAATTTAGAAAATATTTTTCTGAAAATAATTACTTGTATCGCTTACAAAAATACAAAAATAATTTTTTTTTCATTATCTACATAAATAGTTAGACATAAATTATTGTAAATAATGAATATAATTTTCATTGACTAATTATTTCAAGTAATCATTTTTTTGAAAAATGTTTTTTAAATTATTCATGTTCTGCGAACAAATAGAGACTGGTGTGCTTGTTTGAGAGAAAGAGTTTTCTTGAAATTAGTTTTCCGGACTTTTGCCCGTTTGGTTCGTCGAAAATGATTAGTCAACTAAAAATACTTTCCGGTTAATGAACGGATTCATGCATGAAATTAGGAAATTGAATTCCTAAATCTAAGAAGGTAAAAACACTTTCCGGAATTACTCCTCTTGAGTTTTTAATGTTTTCTTTTTTCTTTTATTTTCTTTCTTATTCCTTTTCCTTCTTCTTCCTCCTCCGCCGGTTGTCGGGCCTCGGCGACGGCCGGCGACCGGCCATAGATACGGGCCGTCGAGAGTTGGCCTCATGTGAGGCTAGCAAGGCTCAAGCTTGTCAGGATCTAGCGAGCTCGACCTCACTGAGGTTGGCCAAGTCGGCCCTCACTAGTGGCTTGTCGCAGCCATCACCGAGGCTCGGCGACTGCCGGAGGAGAAAGAAGGGAAAGGAAAAAAGAAAAAAGAGAGAAAAGAAACGTAAAAAATATTTAAAATTTTGATTTTTGTTTTTTTGCCTGAGATAATGTCATGAGATTGAAATTATTTTCCAAATGAGAACCAAATACCACAAAAAGTTTTCGGTCACATATCACCAAACAAAAAAAAATAACCATTTAAAAAAAATGATTTCCCGAAAGGTATTTTTCTTTATTATGAAGTTTTCCCCCTAACAAACGAACCTATTTATTCTTTTTTTTTAGATAAGGAAGAAGTGTTGTTTGTTCCTAGGTTGAAGGGACGGACATGGTAATTGCAACCACTAATTGAAGATGGACCCTTGCATTACGGCCAAAGTATAGAGACAATAATTCTCATGTTACTTTCGGTCTCTGTTTATTGCTTCAATTTTCTGCATTGTGAATGCATGACAGCTTATCCAGTGAAATATGAAAGTTGTTTCCTTCTCGTTTAGTAAACAGAATATATTTTGAATAATTTAGGAAATATAGTTACTAAGATATATCGATCTCCAACAATTACGTTCCTCCACTTCTTTTATCTATACTAGATGTAAAGCCAACTTTTAAATTTGGTGTTCACTTTTCAAATGATTGATAGATCTTTATTAAGGGTATGCAACCGGACCGGGTTTACTTGAAAACCGGACCGGACTACCTGAAAAACAGGTCTAGGAACCGGTTCCTATTTGAACCGGTCCGGTTCCTAGTTTCAAGTGAAGACCCACCAGGTAACCGGACCGGTTTTTGAACCTATTGATTTAGCATTTTGGTGGATCATAATATTATTATATCTTGGATTGTTGTTTTTTGTGGATAGTAATTTCTATGACTCATCTTAAGGATTCTTGCTTTTAGCGGTTAGTGATTTTTATTGTTATTCATCTTCTACTTTGAATCATTTCATTGCTACTTATATTATTTTGCTGGAAAAAATAAAACTAGAAAAAGGAACAAAAGATTAACAGGTTCTCGAATAGGTCCTGCAACCAAACAGGGTACCAAAACAAGTTCAAGGCAAATAAGATAGGTTCAAGATTCCAAAAAATAGGAACCAGTCATAACAAGGTCGGTTCCCTAGAACCAATCACGCTTATCCTTGCCTATAGTCAATCTCAATACGAGAAAAAAAGTAAGGAGGGCATTGTATATCTCTTTGGATTAAAATTTGATATACCTAGAAGGTTACCAAACAAATTTTCCTTCTTTTATGGAGCACATATCATCACATTTAAAATTTATATCCACGTTCTCCTATGATAAAAAAAAACTATATTTATTTCAAATTAGGCCCGTGCCGACACTTCTGAGATCACAACCTTGCGAACTCAAGACTTCCTTTGACTCGTTCACCCCTTTGCCTAAGCTTGGCTTTCTTCTTTATCATTAACCCACCCCAGATTATAGAAACAGAAACTCAATTGAAGATGGACCCTTGCATTACGGCCAAAGTATAGAGACAATAATTCTCATGTTACTTTCGGTCTCTGTTTATTGCATCAATTTTCTGCATTGTGAATGCATGACAGCTTATCCAGTGAAATATGAAAGTTGTTTCCTTCTCGTTAAGTAAACTGAATATATTTTGAATAATTTAGGAAATATAGTTACTAAGATATATCGATCTCCAACAATTACGTTCCTCCACTTCTTTTATCTATACTAGATGTAAAGCCAACTTTTAAATTTGGTGTTCACTTTTCAAATGATTGATAGATCTTTATTAAGGGTATGCAACCGGACCGGGTTTACCTGAAAACGGGACCGGACTACCTGAAAAACAGGTCTAGGAACCGGTTCCTATTTGAACCGGTCCAGTTCCTAGTTTCAAGTGGAGACCCACCAGGTAACCAGACCGGTTTTTGAACCTATTGATTTAGCATTTTGGTGGATCATAATATTATTATATCTTGGATTGTTGTTTTTTGTGGATAGTAATTTCTATGACTCATCTTAAGGATTCTTGCTTTTAGCGGTTAGTGATTTTTATTGTTATTCATCTTCTACTTTGAATCATTTCATTGCTACTTATGTTATTTTGCTGGAAAAAATAAAACTAGAAAAAGGAACAAAAGATTAACAGGTTCTCGAATAGGTCCTGCAACCAAACAGGGTATCAAAACAGGTTCAAGGCAAATAAGATAGGTTCAAGATTCCAAAAAATAGGAACCAGTCATAACAAGGTCGGTTCCCTAGAACCAATCACGCTTATCCTTACCTATAGTCAATCTCAATACGAGAAAAAAAGTAAGGAGGGCATTGTATATCTCTTTGGATTAAAATTTGATATACCTAGAAGGTTACCAAACAAATTTTCCTTCTTTAATGGAGCACATATCATCACATTTAAAATTTATATCCACGTTCTCCTATGATAAAAAAAAAACTATATTTATTTCAAATTAGGCCCGTGCCGACACTTGAGATCACAACCTTGCGATACTTAGACTTCCTTTGACTCGTTCACCCCTTACCTAAGCTTGGCTTTCATCTTTATCATTAACCCACCCCAGATTGTAGAGAGAAACGCAAGAGAGAAGTTTTTCGGAGAAAATGCTCTATTGCTTCTTATTGTGTTGAATATGGGGTGCTACAAATGAGGGGGAGAAAATCCGTATTTACATATGAGTCCCTTTAATTACAATCATATATTTTCTGTCAATCTCAAGTGGAGATACAATCTCCATATCTATTGTCTAACACCAATTAATTACAAGAATGCTCTATAATACAGATATACAATTCTCGTAAACATCATTGAGAACATTCTAAAGTGCTAAAATCCTGAACCCCTAACAACTTCAAGGCATGTTCAGTTATCTTGGTCACCTCCTTGACCTATGGTGCCTTGAAAATTTTTGGTCCATGACATTTTCCCCCACCTCATTGAGCGATGCCCTCAGTGCTCTCGACTCGGATTCCTCCGCTTGCCCAATCAAACCCTCCCCTTGGATCATTGGCTCCCTCGAAGTTTCACTTTTCTTTCGTCTCCCACACTATTTGGCCTTTCACTTCTTGACTTCACGTTTGCACGGCTCTAGAACTCTAACTCGGTCCACAACAATCATCATGGATACGCATCCCCACCTTTTGTAAATGGAAGTAAAACTTATAGCCATTTGACCATACATACACATCCATGTATATACTTATAGGTTATTCAAAATGTGACAACTTTAAACTTCATGTGGCAGGACGAAAATTTCTTGCCGTATATGCCCAAGACTATGAAGGTGGAACCTACGGAACGGGAGGAGGAGGCTACTTTAATCCAACACCTTAATTAACAATCATCATGTTCCACTCATTGTAGAATAATACATGAACTTCTAGACAGAGGATGGGATGTTCTTGCGGGTCTTCTCCAATGTAATAGCTTAAAATATTTTTGTCTTATGAAAAACTAATGTTTGTTGAATATGGTGTTTGAGCATCTGATGAGACACAAGTCAGTACGATTTTGTTATTTCACGGCAAATATCGGTCACCATGCTTTTGGGTCGGTCGTATTAGCATTGCCGAACTTCAATTGCGCTGGCTCCCGAAACATTGAAGACGTCGCCACGTGCATGTAATTAACGATAGGAGTCGCACACCGATTCCATAAAAATAATACAAGTAAACAATCCATACATGCATAATATAATAATGTGTCGAATTTTGCAACGCATCTATCCAATCTAGGCTCCCAAAAATAAATATAACGGTAGTTTTATCAAAGAAAAAAAATGCATGAATGAGAAATTAGAGAAGATGAAGGGAGGGACAGAGAGATGAAATGGTTACCAACATGACCATCTGTTCGAGTCCGAGGCATGCCGTCCTCGCTGTTCGGGATTGCTTGCGGTTGCGCGACCTCACTCGTCACTTTATTTTTCCAATGTCAAGGGCTTGCTCAAATGATAAGCCACGCCTAGTATTACTCAATAAGGCATTTTACAGTCATTAGTTTTCTATATCTATCAAATTTAAAAATCACATGATGGAAGTTGGTAAATGACAAATCAATAAGCTAAAATTAATTGATCTAGTATGGATGACATGGCAAAAAAAAAAATGCCATGTGTATTTTGCGAGCATATTGGCTTCAGTACGATTTTAAAAAGTTTTGCGGACTAGGTACCCATCCTTGTTTGCTTAAGCGTGGGCTTACCACTATCATTTTTGCATGATGAAATCAATACCGATACCTATTTGTGTATGAATAAACTTTCCTATATGAATTCAGATAATCAAATTCTGTCGCTTTGAATAAATAGTGTACAATCTCTAAATACAATATCTAATCATAAAAGTTCTCTTATTACAATTGAGGGTCTTGATGGTTTAATCACAAATCCAACATCACAATTTTAGAATATCCTTCATGAATTGAACTTCAATGTCTCAATGGCTTTGATCTCAAGAGAAAGACGGTCGGGGTCATTATGACACGAATCTTTTAGAGTTTCGCTTTCTCGCTAATGAACAACAATTCCCTAAAATTATTAATGGAGAGGACGTGAGGAGTCTTTAACTCTCGTTTTTGAACTTGATTGGTTGATTCAAGATTTTTCATCATAATTTTGTACTTAAAACAGATATCAAACATACATCAAATTTGGCTTGGATAAATGTCAATTTAATTTGTGTAATCGACTAATTACAGAAAAATAAGCTAATGAACGAAAACTCGTGAACTTATCTCTTATTTGATTTTCTTTCTAAATATATCTTGATTTGAAATTAAGTGGCTTTCAAAAAAAAAAAAAATAGTTTCGCTTTCCTTTATTGATATATAAATTTTCTTCAGATGATACGAGCTATATTTCAAATAAGTGGAGCTTAAAATAAGTGAAGTTCAAGGGAACGAAACAAAATTAAATGAAATGTGAACATGCATGATTCAAATAGAAAACTTTATCCTCTTATTTTAGTGTTCAAGTTTAGTGAATATTAAGTGAATCTTATTCACGTATAAAATAAGTTATGCTTATATTTGTTTTAATTTAATGTAGATTGAATGGATTAATGGTGCATATATTCATGTAATTAAGAAAAGCTATACCTTGACCTGTGAGTACCTTTTCTTTTTTGTCAAAAGAAATTTCTATTCATTATTAAAATGATACATGAAAATATCAATAGAAAATCTCAAAAGTCACCATAACGTGGAGCTCTAAAACAAACCAAAACCAGAAATCAATACATCATCAGAGAATGATTGGCAAAAATAATCACACACTCGTCATTTAAGAACAGATGTGTAACTACATCCAAACAAAAGGATCGGCGGTCAATCACCGAATCTCACATTATTGATAATAAGCATTCGTCGGGATCTCCATCTGTAGTTACGGATTTGCCTTTCGGCGGTGTGGACCTAGGTTTGGCGTCCCCAACACTATCAACATACGGAGACAACATAAATATGTTGAACAAGCTTAAATTTAACACCTGTGAGAGCGAGCCATTTAGCAAGTACAAGACCTCAAGGCTACAAAAACACGTTGAACGAGCATAAATTTGACACAGAAATTGCTATGATCACCATTGAAACTCAAGGCGGAGTAATTATTCATTAAAACTTGTAAATCTATAATTAGATTGGATAGAAAAGCTCCCAAATCTAAGATCGGGAGAGCGAAGCTCCCAAATCTAAGATCGGGAGAGTAATGAAAAAAAAAAGGAAATAAAAGGAAAAGTAACTAGGTAGGGGAGGAAGAAATCTAGGTCAAATCGCCTCCCTCTAAAAGTTTTTTTTTGGTCAGCAAACATTATATCTTATACTCATTCCCCTCTAAAAGTTGAAATGACGAATAAAGGCTCAAACTCAGAGAGGGAAGGAGAGATACGGAGTTGCTGTGACTTGTGAGTACTTTATTCATGTATTAAGATGTAGTTTTCTTTTTGACATAATTTCATATTGAATGACAGATTAAATATTTCGAGATACTTCATAATTATTTGATCTTTTCAATTTAAGATGAATGAAATAAGTCCAAAGAGATAATTGTTTGTAAAAGAAAACATAAGTTTACTTTAAAATATTTATTATTATCTTCATATATGTGACAGGCCTATTACATTTGAAGATACTTTTTTGTCCATTTTTATATATAAATATTACGTTGATAAGTAATAGACATATGAAAATGATAAATAATTAAACTAATGATAATTGGTCGGCCGTGTGGCATAATGGCTTGCCATAATCACGGTGGCAAAATACCTTATAAGGACTACATGAGTGAACGTTAATTTCATTGATGTAGGATTTGCAAACTTATACAAACAAATTTAAGTTTTTTTTTTTAAATGGCTTATCCAGTTCAAATTGCAAGTTACCAATTAGAATAATCTCAAACACGTTATAAACCTTCTGTAAGTGGGATGTAAAATTGTCCCACAGTTTCAAAACTCAAAACTTTAGATCTATAAAGGTTGGGATGGGAGGGAAACCCAACCAGATCCAGCTACATATCAGGCTCTAGCCCAACTCAACTCCAATATTTGGGGAAAATTCTAAATAAAGACTCGAAATGCTCTCATTTTCTCAAATAAAGGCATGAAGTGAACCCAGTGTCAAACAAAGACATGAAGTGCCGTTATTTTCTTAAATAAGAGCATGAAGTGAATATTATCTCAAATAAGGGTTTGAAGTGGCCATCTTAGTCTAAAAAAAGAACCTCCTCACCGGAGTCAAGGGCATTTTCGTCTTTTAATTTTTTTGATTTTTTTCCTTTTTATCTTTATTTTTTTCCTTTTGTGTGTTTTTTCCATAAAAAACAAACTGAAAAAGCTAAAGTTATAAAAAAAAAACAATGGGAGAGCTGGCACCTCCCGCTTGTGGCCGCCGCCCCATCGCTAGTGGAGCGGCGGTGATGGTTGGTGAGGTCGCCAGCTCCTCAGCGAGGGCCAGGAGGGGTTGCCCAACCCTCTACCAGATCTAGCAAGGGTCGCCGACCCTTGCATAGGTCTGGCAACCTTGTCCCAGACCTGGGCAAGGGTCGCTAGCCCTCACCTTTTGCCGACGATGGGGCAGTGGCCATAAGCAGGGAGGGCTGGAGTCAGCCCCTTGTTTTTTTTTATTTTTAAAAAAAACCTTTTTGTTAATTTTTAATCTAATTTAACTAAAATTTATATTAAAATTGTTTTGGACGAAATTTCCCTTGATCGGTCGGAAAATTTGGCCGGCCGGTAGGGTGAGACTCTTATTTGAAATTGTTATAGCCACTTCAGACCCTTATTTAACATAAAGTCCACTTCAGATCCTTATTTGAGAAAATGTGAGCATTTCATACTCTTATTTGGAATTTTCCCCTAATATTTGGTACTGATAAAAAGAAATCCAACTTAAGCTCGATCATGTATTATGTATCCTGCTTGAACTTGACTCAAAAGATAATTGAGAAACTTAAGCTCGACTCGCTAGGAAATATGTCATAATACAATATGTTATTTTAAGGTCTTTTATGTCTAATTTTGCACTCAAAACTTCAAATCTATCGAGGTTGGGATGGGAGGGAAACCCGATCAAATCCAGCTACATATCAGGCTCTAGCCCGACTCGACTTCAATATTCGGTACAAATAAAAAAAATCCAACTTAAGCTCGATTAAATATCATGTACCCTGCTTGAACTTGACTCAAAATATAATTGAGAAACTTAAGCTCGACTCGCTAGGAAATATGTCATGGTACAATATGTTATTTTAAGGTCTTTTATGTCTAATTTTAAAGATGTTAAAGAATTATTCAAAAAAAATCAAGATACTCGATAAAGTTACTTGTCAATTTGAATATTAGCAAGCTAGAGCTCGACCTAAAAACCAAATGAAGTAATTTGAACTTGGGCTTGACTGAAATATAAAGAGTCGATTTCGAGAATTCATTGAGTTGGGTTTTTTTTTTATCGAAAAATTCATTAAGTCAAGTTTAAACCCTTCACAAGTAGCTTGACTAGCTTATATCCCTGCTGAAATTATGGTGGTTTGTATAGCCAAAGTTTCACAGAACCCACATCTACTGTGGTGCAAAATTTTATTCGATAAGCGATGTCCATTTGCAAAATCTGATGTGTGGAGATACAAATAATGCAACTCACTTGCAACTGGGTCCTGTATTTACTCGTTTGAGTTTGACCGAGTCAAAATAAGGTCTATCCCACTCGTTTGTTCGACTTCTTGCTTTTGTAACTTCATCCAAGATTTGGAATTGCCTGAAAGATTGAAGAAAACAACTAAAGGGGAGAGATAATAGTCAACATAAGCGCCAACAAAATTGAAGTTATCTTTGTTATATGTCGAAACTAATAAATTACATTTGGAAAATTAAGAGCGTCCGATCGAAGAAAATCCTCCAAAACTTCTATTTTCATTTCAATCAAGAACGATGGGAAAATTATTGGATAGACTCAGTATTTGTTAGCTCATTTCA